AAATGTTATTAGCTATCGTCTATTGTTACGAACGTCCCGAGTAATAATAAAATGGCCGCTTTGGCTCAATTGCTTGTAACAAAAGGAGTAAAACTTTGTGGAGAAGTTGTTGTAAATTCTTAAGATATTTATTTAATATACTAATAATTTTGATATAAACGTTATAATTTAAAAGTGTAAATGTTCAAACTTTTCTAAGACAACTGCTTTCAGTGACTCTTTCGTTGATGGATTGGATATATATCTGGATTCTTTGGTTGTTTTCGTAAATAGTTCGTTTTCTTTTACATGAGACTTTCTTCTGATATGGAGTTCTACTAAGCACCAACATAACTACAGCTTTCGATTCTCGACTTATAAGTGATTGTACAATGACGTAGGATTAAACTGTGGTCAGTTGATTTATAACGTCCTGTACGTTATCTGTGGTCAGTAGGTTTACCACGTCCTATACGTAAGCTTTTCCTGTTATTGTGGTTATCATACACATGCATGTATGAGTTCCACAGCCGTTAAACGTTCAAGACGTCACGCTACCAGGAACGCCTCCACTGTCGCAGACTCGGGAGAATTTTGTTGCTAACACTGCAACAGGACCTGCGCAAGCTGCATTGGCATGTTAAATCACGAGCGCGCTTGTGGAAGTCAGTGAACTAAATGAACTTTTGCAGACAGCCATCGTCAATTCGACGGGCAGCATCTCTCATGTATGAGTAAGGCATTTTACAAAGATCACTAACTAGTTAACTAATAATATATTTAAGTATATGAAAATAATAACTACAATTTAAATGATTATGGATTATCATGTAACACTATCAAAAGACATTCTCAGAGAAAATGTGCAGGTGAGCTCATATGAGTGAATGAATATCAACTATTTACATCGTATTAAATTGCAGGTAATAGGAAAAGTTGAATAAAAAAAGGGGAGAAAGATGGTGCCACCTTTGATGTTACGGAAAGGTTTGTGTTCGGAAATTAGTAGGCTTTCACGAACGAGTAGTTCGTTTAGGAAAGAAAATGATGAAAGTATTTCGAAATGTTCTATAGACGCAGTGTGCCAGTGTTTTTGAGGTGATAGAAAATACCTAATGGTAAAGGCAAGAATTTTTTCTACCTGTAAGGGCAGTGAGACCAAGGTGTCCAGAGTTTCTTGTGTGGAGTTTACGGACCATATGACCCACAAAGGATGCAGTAAAGCAAATGCTTTCATTAGGCCTTATGATTTCGAAGCAGAAACCATCCCTTAACATTCAGGTTAGCTCTGTCTTTCTCCTCCTTTTTTAACTCAAGTTTTCATATTACCTACAGTTGACACCTTCTTGAAAATAATTGCTGATTCCAAAGCTTTGTATTATCTCATTTTTAGACTTAGTAAATTGAGAAAAATATGGAGGAAGCTTCATTTTACTGGAAAAGGTTCAACTTGGTTTTATGGCAATTAGCGGTCTTAGAAAATTTTTTATATGACACCGTAAGTTTAAAATGTGAAATTTTGGTATAAGAACAGTTCATATGATTTGCCAACACTGTTTTCTCCATCTGACTGGGGGTAAAAAGACGTTTTACATGTTTTTCATATCTGTAGCTAAGTAAACATTTCATTTACAAACATACCATTAACGTTAACTTTTTGATTTCTATTTACTAGATCTGGTGAGCTATGGTGGAGATACAGCTTCGAAGGATTTTCTTTTCAGTCGTTTTTGATATCCTGTTGCGCAGAGTTACTCACCCTTGGCTATTTTTTAACAGTTCTTATAATTGCTAGTTATGTTACCATGACTATTTTTAGGATATTCCAATATATAATGAACACTGTTTCCACCTTGCTCCTATACGTTTTCCCATTTTAAAGAAAATAGGATAGAGGGGTACTTATGTTACGCATTATGCTTGTAACATCCTGAAAAATCATGGATTCAAACTGGCAAATAGCATAACCCGTGCCTTTTTAGTTTTAGTATATTCCTTTACTGCGAATAACTGTGGCTGCTATTTATCTTCAAAACCCAAATCCTTATCATGTACAATTGCTAGTTTTTATATGTGTCAGAATCTCAACTGTAAATTGCTTTAATAATTGTAGCTACGTAAATCTTGCTGTTTTTATCACGTCAAGCGGCCATCACTAACTGCTTCAATTTGGCGTAAACTGATATATGTTTCAACATTTTTCTTTCCTTTAATACAACAAATATCACATTAAAACTTTACTGATTCATGTGCTTATCCTATCTGTTGTTAATTGTCGTCCTGTTTGCGGATAAATAGCTACTTTATATATACTCATTGTCTTTCAAAGTGTCGTCCAAAAATAAAGAAAAGCGTATTAAGCTAAAAGTTGCGCAACAACCTGCTTTCTTTTTCACTGGTAGAATAGTTTTGTTGTCCTTTTGCGAGCTTTTTTTAATACAGATAATATTGGTTGCATGTTATCATTGCTTTCAGTTTGATCCAAGTAAAGTACAACTACTTCTCAGACGCATTGCAACCAGTGACGTAGCGAGCCCGCAAATTTGGTCCTGCTATTTAAATTTTCTATGTTCACTCACTGCAAAAACAGCAGATTTATAATGAAATGAATAATTCTAAGGATTTACAATTCTCATAGCAAGACCAAAACTTGCGATCTGTTTATGCCACTGATTACACTTTACCCTAAAACAATTAAGGTAATTTGGAAGTGCCAGTTTTACAGTATTGTGCCAAAAATAATTATTATTGACGAATTACTGTTTTACTTGGGGGGGCATATTCATATATTCTGCTATGCTTGGCTAATTTCTTTTCAAAACATGTTCACTTTCAAAAGATATAAGCCTGGCATAACAGAATATATGTATATGGTCCCCCCTATTATCGCAGGGTCAACACCCATAGTCTGGGTACAGTCTCGTTTGCAAATATTAGTTCTTTAATGATAGAGATCCTAAGAGCATAAAATCAGCACCCTGTAAAAAACTACTACAACATCCAATTTGGTAGTTGAAGTTTTCACCTAAAGAATGAAGTTATCATTTAAATCTGGGATGGAATCGGTACATCAATCGTCATCAAATTGTCGATCACTATTTTATGAGACAAGTGTTGTTATGTGGAGGCGGATTAAAGGGGAGCAAAAGGGTTGCAGCCTCCCTTTTGCTGGAAAACACCCCACCAAATTGAATAATAAATAAAAAATGACAAGCCAGTTTACGTCTGAGAAAATAATAAACTCAACGAAAACGTGCAGTTTTTATCTAACAGTGCCAGTTTTAATTGCTAAATTAAGTAATTTTGTTGTTTAAGAATATTGATGTGAGATGTAGTACTTCTGTGAATGGAAGCATACGAGGAAGTGGTAAAGAAGAGTGCGTTCGAGTTGTAAACATGCGTGGGTGATTACTCAGCAAATAAATCTATTTTTCATACCATTCTTAAATCAAAATAAAATAAATTTTTACAAATCAAAAATCATTATAAGAAGCATACGATATTTATTCTTAGAAGAATTAGGAGAATAATTTCATTAAAAGTTGCAGCCTCATAAAATTTTAGTCGAAAAAACTGTTGTGTATAATGTTATTGATTATTGCTCATGGCAAAAGAAGTTAAGGATTCAAAAAAAAAGGAAACAGAGAAGTATTCTTATCAATAACCAACAAAAAACGTGTAAAAGAAATGACGGTGCTGTCAAAGATGTAGATGAGCCAGCTCAAACTACTTTGGACTCTCTGGAGACAATTGAGAGGGATATTTGTATAACTACGAGCTCAGATACTGTGGAACTAGTTGCAGATATAGCAACTGCTACAAAACTTCCTTTAACAAAAATGAACAACTCAACAATATATCATACTATCAAGAACTGTGTGCCAGAGAAGGATTTATTTTTTCTCACATGCTGTACAATGACAGTAGTGAAATGAAAGGTGTGAAACAGAGGTACTGTGAGAGAGTGGTTTGAAAACTATGACAACTTTTGCTATTGAAGATGGAGTCTTCTGCTTGTGGTTTGTTCTTTTTCTACGGAAAACGTAGCAAATACCTTGTCACTACTCCCTATCGTAACTGGAAGGATGCCAAAGCAGAGTTCTCCAAACATGTCAGCCTTGAATACCATAAAGATTCCAGGACAAAGATGGATGTCTTTATTCAAATTAAGACTACACCGTCCATCAAGATCCAGAGCAGATTGTCCCATGAAGTTACGAAACGAAGTTGCAAAGGACAGGGTTTTCTTAACATCGATAATGAAGTGCATAGAAATATGTGATCGACAAGGTACAGGCTTAAAATGTCATAGAGACGACACTAATTTTAATGCTGAGAATCAAGGGAATTTTAAGGCATTGATTGATCCACGCCTTGATGCTGGTGATATAGAGAGCTGGCTTAACATCTAAAAACTTGATACCGAAACTCGACGTACATGTCAAAAACAGCCCAAAATAAACTGTTGCTGTGTATCAAAAAGTACATACGAAATAAGAATTTCAGTGAAGTAAAGTGTGAAGAAGGTTTCTATGGCATTGAAGCAGACGAAGTAACAGACGTTTCTAATTTGCAGCATCTAACACTTGTCATTTGTTACTTTTCTAATATTGAAATTATCGATAGACTTGTACTGGATGCGAGGTATGTGACGAAATCATGCAGACATTATCAAACATGAGACTAGATCCCAAAATGTGTCGTGCACAAACCTATGACGGTGCAGGGGCCATGTCATGTTGCCATAATGGATGTGCCAAACTTTTCCAGGATGTATCCTCCTTATTTACATTGTGCAATAAATGAGCTTAACTTGGTTTTATCCGATGCATTCAAGGTAACAGAGATCGTTAATATGGTGTCAGCTGTCGAGTCAGTAGGTGTTTTCTTTAAGTATTCAACAAAACGACAACGTCAGCTAGAAGAAATATCGTTGGTCTAAATGAAAGAATTGGCTTCAGTAATCAATCAGAAATTGTAAAGGATCATTAAGAGGGAATTTTTAACAATGATGATACTACTGAATCGGAAGAGGAAGAAGAGCATTATTTTCCAGAAGAAGTGTTATACAAAGATACTTGCAGACAAAGAAATGATCTTCAAGATGATAGTCCAAAGATAAAAGTTGCAAAAGTGAAGATCAAGCCACTTTGCGAGACCCAATGGGTAGAACGCCATACTGCATTTTATGACTTCGAAGATATTTATGAATCTCTTCTTTTTTTTTGCCTAGAAACAATATCACAAAATAAAGAGTGCAGATACTGGGAGGCTAAAGCTAAGACGGAGGCACAAGGGTTGTTCCACCAAATTACAAAACCTGCGTTTATTTCTGATGACTTCGATGACTTTGAATTTAAGCTATATTTTTTAAAAAATTTTAGACTTTCCTCGGAGAAATTGCAAACTTGAATATTCTGATTGGCACTTGCTAAAAAAGAAAACAAACTGCTGATTAGTTCAAAATGAAATTCCCCCTTGTTCATTAAGAGCCTTTACACAAAACAGATAAAGCTAATCAGTTTGATTAAATCATAAATCGATTGCAAACATTTCAGAATTTTTGTTTTGAATGAGAAAAATACCCAGCATTTGAAAAATTCTCCATTATAAATATGTCATTACTTGATACTGTTTCATACAGCTTTCTACCATATAAATTGTCAGCTACTCTCCAATATCCTTACAAGGCACATGATTGGCGGTAACAGAAAATTTAAACCACGCTGTGCATAGCAATATCTCTCGTACCTACTGCATAATATGTGGTTATTTAGGCGTTCCTGTAGTAATGACGGACACAACGCTCTGATTATCACAGCAAAACTGAATTCGCTGTTTGGTTCAGCGGCTATCCTAAACATGGCATGCTACTACAATTGGGAAAAAGCTCCTTAAAAACAATGCTATGCCAGCTTTGTACTGATGACCAGGTCCCCTGAAACCATTCACCTTACATTATTCTCCGTATCTAAACACCAGACGCATCATTTGAAATAGACAAATATCCCGTCCAAAGTTGGCAACAGTAAACGCCACCATGTTATATCTTGCTTGCATTCCTGGCTTGGGGGATAAAGCGTGAGTTTTTGCAAGAATGTTCATTCAGCAATTCCTAGTCAGCGACGGACAAACGTCTGCAGATGTGGTGCAACAGCAACGGCATGATTGAGATTCCTAAATAAGGACTGCATTTACTTTACGCTACACCATCTTTTGGTCTCCAAAGCGTTTAGGAGACAAATAAATTCGTCTCTTTTTTGCAGGGGGAGTCGGGCTAACATTCAAACGGAGTTCAATTCGAACCCATAGAAGTTGCTATATCAGCAGCAATTTGATGTATTGCACGACGCCATGAACAGCACACTTTCGAATTTGCGGGACCAAAGGTGAAAAAGGAATCTAGTTAATAGAGTGATTTAGCAAACAGGACGTTTCTTCTAAGACATCTTCAAATTTTTGCGAAGGGATCTGGGTCTAGGACGCCACAATGTCGTAAAGTATTTATGATTTAGCAAAATTTTGTAGGACTTCATCAAATAATAGTATGAAACAAGTTTCATCCATTACGGCATTTTTCTGCTGGATCGTGTTTTCTGATCATTTTACACTAATTTTTTGATATCAAAAATATAATGCAGTGTATTCATTTCAATAAAATTATAAATAAAAGCAAAATCATCGACATTTGGCTTTGTGATTACAATTGTTTTGAGCAGACCCCGAATTGCTTTTATGTTTCTTTTTTTCGCTTTATGAAACAAACATGGTTAATCGCGTCTTGCTCTCCGGCGATTTGGCTTAATGGCTAGACGTCTCCCACGCTTTTGTGGGAATTTTTTGTGAAAATACAACGACCGTTATTCCACGATTTACAAACGATTGATGCCTCTGGATGACCCCTAGGCTTCCTGCACGCACGTAAAATTGCTTGCCCAGAAGCTGCAATAAGATTATGGTAAAGGTCGGAGTTTATTTGCTCCAGTTGCTTAAACCTGCGACGGCCGTCTCAAAACAAAATGCGTGATCATATTTATGCCAGGACCATCCAGGAAATTGCTTGGCAATGCGAATAATTAAAGCCATGTAGGCCAGCAAGTCTCGCGCGCAATTTGGGTGGCATGCGGTTATAAGCACCACGTAACCCCATGACAATACTGTCAATTATTTTTTACTTCTTTCTCCAAGCATGTGCACTTGAAGGAATTAATGCTCCACCTTCGATAGTGAACAAAGGGCGATCCACTGCAATTGGTTGCAGATTATCTGGCAACAGGTCACATATCTCAGTGAATTTACCATTGAGGATTTTTTGTCCAATTATTTTCAAAGGAATCGGAGGCCGGCCAGTACCCAGGACAAACGCTTGATTAAGCCCACTATCCTCAAGCCCTGCATGAGAGGGGGTAATCGCAGCCGATATGGGAACCATTGATGCAACTGACATGGCAGTTACAACATAAGTGATACTAGTTTGCGTTGGTTATTCTGAGGACACAGCATCAAACGATGGAGTAGACAGCGCACCTGATTTTGCTGATGCAAAAGACTCCCAACATTGACAATAAAAACATTGAAAAATTGACAATAAAAAAAAAAATTTTATTTTCTGGGAGACTTAAAGTATGACCTTTCTAAGTCAAATTTTGATCACCAAACAAAGAAACTAACATCAATGCTTGAAATTTACCAGTTATTTCAACTAATAAATGAGCCAATTAAGATAACCAGGTCATGCTCTACACTAATTGATCCTTTAATAACAAATCAACCAAATAAAATCTCAAGTAATGGTGTTATTCACACAGGAAAGAGCGTTCACAGCCTTATTTACGCAATAAGAAAGATTAATTTTTCCAAAAAGAAAACAAAAACAATTTTTGAAACAAGAAATATGAAGAATTTTAATGAGAATAAAGTTTTTCAAGGCCTATCACAACAAACATGGAATGATATTTACTTCTATAAAAGAGATTCTGACAGTCTGTTGGAGATTTGGAAACATTTGTTTCTGGAAGCTGTTCATAAGCATGCTCCTATTCAACATAAAAAGTTAGGTCAAAAACGTCCCATGGACAAGTAATGAATTAAAGCAATTAATTAAGAAAAGAAGCAGATTAAAAATAAAGGCATAACTATCTAAACTTGAAGATGACTCGGAGGACTATACAAAGCCAAAATTCTACAAACACTGAATTTAAAAGGAAAAAAACAAATTATTGTTATTATAAGAGAATTTCTTCTCTAAAAGATGGTCCAACACAGATTGATGTCTTTAAATGATTTACTTGGAAAATCAATAAGCCAACTAGAATAAGTAAACCAACCCATGAATCAATATTTCTCAAATATCGGACCTAACCTTGCCGAGGAGATTGATTCTGGTGGTAGTTGCTTCAAACATTATCTAAGTGAAACTAAATCCGAATTTTCTTCATTCGAACCAGTTACTATAAACTATGTCCATTACTTACTGTCCAACTTATCAGCATTTAAAGCTGCAGGTATAGACAAAAGATCCAAAAGAATTGTTAAAATAGCAGCACCGATAATTGCCAGCTCGTTGACATATATATCTAATCAAGCCATTACACTTTGTAGTTTTCCGAATGATTGGAAGACTGCTAAAATAATTCCATCGTTTGAGAGAGGCAAAAGAAACATACCAGACAATTACCGTCCCATCGCAGTTCTTCTGCCTGCTATAAGCAAAGTGATGGAACGCAAAATTTACAATCAGCTATGTTCATATTTCTCAGCAAATGGCCTGTTCTCAGAACAACAATTTGGATTTTGTAGAAATCATTCCACAACTACAGCCCTCTTAGATCGTACCAATGAATGGTATGTTAACGTGGACAGAAAACTGTTAAATTTAGAAGTTTTAATTGACCTAAAGAAGTTTTTTGACACAGTATATCATGAAATTCTATTCAAAAATTGTCCTTTATGGTGTCAAAAGTCATGCTTATTTGTTAATCAAATATTATTAAAGTGCCTATGAAGCTAAAATTTTGCAACTTAAATTTATACTTTGGTAAATTTAAGAGAATGACTAGTAGCTAATAAACTCTGCGTAAATGTGGCAAAAAACAGACTTTATTATAGTTTGATCTAAACACATACTTAGTAAAATCCTTAATTTTCAAATAAAAATTACTATATTGACAACAAAACAATCAAAAAAGTTTCCCAATATAGGGCTTTGGGTGTTACTGTATAGTGGAAGATTTATCATGGAAAATGAATACAGAAATTATCTGAAAAAAAAGTTTCATCTATTCTGTATGCTTTAAAACAAATAAAACAATTTGGTAATCAAAATACCCTCAAACGTTCATACAATGCATTTTTACATCCTTATTTCATTTATTGTTGGGAAGTTTGGAGTGTTTGGGAAATACTGAACGTTTAGAAAAACTTTTAAATAGAGCAGCACGTTTAATAGCAAATTTACCTAATCAATGTAGTCAAGAAAATGCCTTAAATGCCTTAGATTGGGAACCTTTATAAGAACAGTGGTTTAGAAGCAAAGCAAAAATGATGTTCAAAATGCTAAAATAACACGGGGCTAAATTGCATCCAAGGCTTATTTACTTTAAAAAATGAACTTGTCAACTATAATCTTCGTGGGAAACCACAACTTGATCATTTGCCTAGACCACGTACTAATAATAGAAAAAAAGTTTTTTGCTTGATGGAGCTGCCCTGTGAAACACTTTCACCAGTAACTTGAGAAAGTGTAAAACGGGTTTCTCTTTTGAAAAAGATCGCTACTCGTCGATTGCAAATATCGTTTTATGTTTTTAAATATCTTATTTTCTAGAATTTCATGTCAATTATATAGTCTTATTTAGTATATATATCAACGTATATATCAGTTACGTATTGCACTCATAGGTACACTACAATTTCTGTATATTATATTTTACGCGCTTATCGTGGAAACCAGCTTTTTCTGACGATGCCAGCGTGGGTAAATAAAGTTATCTATCTATATATTTATCAATCTATCTAGATTTGCTTAAGATTGTTATGTGTTAAGTAAATTGGCAGTTGCAGTTTTTTGTCATTGTTTTATGTTGGTGGTGTTGTTTTCACTATTGGTGAGTTTTTAGAATATTCGTTTGCTGTAATTGTTTATCATTTGTTCGATGTTGTTCATGCAGCTGTAATTTATATTGATTATATTACAGTAAAGATTTTCCTAAGTTGATGATCTTATGCGTGTCTTTGTTTGTTAGTAAAATGAATAAGCCAAAATCGATGGTTATGGTTTCGAAAAATAGGTAGTTGTGCACAAGTTTAATTTATTTGAAAGAGCACTGTTCTTTTTATAGTTTTTTCCTTGTCGAATATAAGTGTGTGCATCGATATCTGTCTTTGTCAAGTGCTTTAGGAAATGAACGACTTGTTTTATCGAAGGATATTTAGAAGAGAAAAATCGTTATAAATCCTTAATCCCGAATAAAAAACTGATGTTCAACACAAAATTAAACCAAAAATGGTGCACAAAAGACAGTATAAAGACAACACAACATTGGAATGGAATAGTTCTAAAAAACGAAGTCAACGTTTTGTTTGATGTTTCGCAGATTTCGTGCTAATTCTACGCTCGACTTTCACCAACACAACAACAGGATGTAGTATAAAATCTAATTATAACTTTGTATACTTTAGCCATCAATAAGTGTGGCACTTCTTATCTGTTGAACATTAAACTTTAAATTGTAACATTGAAAACAATTGCCACCTTTTTATACAGACTATCATCATCAATTACATCCTTTCAGGGGTTAAACTACAACAATGATTGTGGGAAGGGGGGGGATGATTATTCATACATTCACCTCTGCCTGACTGCTTTGGTTTTGTTAGCTTTTTTATATTCAAATTAATTTATCATAATGTATGTAGGATCGAGATGCATAGAGCTTAGGTTATGCTAATTATTATGCTAATTATTATGAAAAACAAAAAGGGACCCGTATAAAAGCATGGTTCTTGGGGTCTTTTGAGATTGAGCACAATTCATGTATAGTGGTGTATTTTTGTACATGGATGTTTATATTTAGTGGCCAAATTACGAGAACCGTACGTTCGACGCATTGCATTGAAATAAAGATTTATCTGTATACCGGTCGTCGTTTTAATAGTAGTTTATGTACGAGTATCTTGCTGGTCACATAAGCCTGGAATTGTTGAAGCTTATAATGTATTTATTTGCAAGAGCGTTAATTCATGCACTCCACTTGTACGCTCTGCGTATCTGTTTCTTTTATTTGCAAACAGCCAAACAGCAATGCAATAAATAACTTCTACCTCTCTTTTGGTGTGTTACATAAGAACTATCTAAAATCACTGTAAGTTTACCTGAATATAAGTCTTCTTGTGGTGTATTTATGTCGAAGCAACTATGCCTATCAAATTTAAAAAACCATCAATGTTTTTTATTAATAAGAAACAAAAGTTTCCTTGTAAGGTTGTCGTCAGCAATTTGAAAAATTAGCCCACTTGTACATTTTTTGTATTTAAACAATATTTTCACGCAGGAGTGGATCCAGCTTCTAAGCTGACCGATGCATTTCGAGCGCCGAAGTCGTGAGCCGCCGGGGTCTGGGGAATGCTCCCCAAGTAAATTTTTGAATTTTTACTGTCGGAGAAGCGATTTCCAGTGATTTAAGAAGGGCGACAGAAAAATGTTAAGCGTAAGTTTTATCAAACCATTTCATCTACACATACTTTCCTTTCTTTTTAAAATTACCAAACAAAACAAAAACACACCCACCGACCTTATGACGTCAGCTGTAGAAATTTTTACTTCTATCAACACATTGACCATTTCTTTCCGTAGTGATCGCATTTTCCAAACCTATTTTGTGTAGTAGAATGACAAAACATTTTTTTGCTGTAAAAAGTGACGATGCAAATATACAGAAAAAATAACTTAAGCCGTCTTTTGTCTCAACACACAGTAGAAAAGATAAAAACATTGATAAAAGCAATGTTCAAAGGTGGTCTTCTTCCAACGACAGATAAGATAAAATTTTAAAGAAAGCCATGTTCAATGTATTACATGCAATGCAATTAAAATAATAGCCACCCCTTTTCATATTATAGTTTTTATTATATTACATACGAATATAACAATAATTATAATAGGTGCTGTATAAGTAATACAACATCACGTATATGTTTTGACGTTTTTTCATCGTTATCTAAACGACTACACTCTTAGTCTGAAATGAGTACTATGTTTACATTTGAACATGTAAGCACAAAGTAAATTTATTTACTTTAAAACTCTTAGTTCTTCACTTTGCCAATGAACTGTCAAGTGCTTAGAAACATTTTGCTTGATATATCTCTCCCATTTTCCCCTTTGAAAGGGATTCCAAGGAAAGGATTTTTAAATAAAAGTAGTAGATTTCGTTTCATAACTTCAACGCACTCCATCAATATCCAAAGATTTCTTTTCTCGAGGCAGAGTACACAAATCATGTTTGATATTCTTAACAGCCATGGCTTCGATTGATGATCCGAGTTATATCAAGTGATCAAATAAAAAAACATTACAGTTCAAAGCTCAAATGCAATGCATCGGTGCCATGTGCCCACAATCACAAAATCATGGAAAATGCATCGCTCAGCGTCAAAATATACCTTATCGTGTGACCCTAAAACAATGGTTTTGCTGATGTCACAGTAGATTCCACGCGGAAAAGGACTCGGGACCGATGGATCGACCGATGCATATCAAATCTACTGTGACGTAGCGATGCATCTTCCATCTACTGTGACGTGTTTACTAATTACGTATTCACGCCAAAATTTCGTTATATTTGATCGGCTTTTCTTTCGCTATGACAAAATTATCAAAGAACACAAATGTTATTTCTATAACAAATTTGTAGCTTAAAACTGCCAAATCTATAATTTAACTAAACAATATATCACCGTCAAATGTCTGTTTTAATTAATTTTAAAATATTTTTCGCTATTTATTTCATTAAAATGCAAACTAGAAGATTTTAATATCTAAATATTTTGACCATTGCATCCGCCCCTGCTACACATTTTTCTGCCGAGCGTCAGCGAGGCAGCCCACCATTCTTGACAGTCAATTCACTCGACCCAGTCCTTAGTGTGGCCTGTATATTGGTGAAAACTCGATTTGGCGTATGCCTGTTTAGAAGATTTTTTCGTCACAATTTAGAAGATTTTTTCAATGAGGTGGAGTGGATAGTAAAAATGTTAAGTTGTGCAGGCATGTTATTTTCTGTTGATAAACATTTGTAACGAACAGTAAGAAAATTTGCGAAGAATACTAATACTAGCAGTAGTATGTTTTTTCAACGGCTGCTGATTTGCGTAAAAGTGATTTACTTGGTTCAAAAAGCAATGTGCTTTCATGTATGTTATTATAGGCTTTTTGATGACCCGAATATTTCATTTAGCGCATCACACATGGTGGACAAAAGTACATTTTATAATAGTAGCAATAATATTACTTTATTAACGGTTGCTCATTTGAATCAAGGTGATTCACTCGGTTTCAAAAGCAATGTGCTTTCATGTTATCATCGGAAGTTTTAACGGCACGAGTATTTTATTGACCGCACGGTAGACAAGAGTACATTTAATGTGTTATTACAAGTAGGCAATAAATAAGTAAAAGCTCTCAATAGTGACTTCACAGTCCAAGAGCCAAGAATTGTTTCATTTAGTATAACTGTTTGAGCATCTCAAATGATTTTCGTTTTAAAATATGTGCGTATGGGCAATGTGATGGCCAAGAAAAATAATGAACCGAGAGTTGTAGTAGAGCCTATTATGAAAGAGTATCTATAAATTTAATAACCACAACATGACCTTGGAATAGACTGACACGCACATATCATAACTATACAACTATAATATTTTCGGCTTCAAGGCTACTGGACCACAACGTCCACAAGAGTTTTAGACGAATTATAAATTTTACCAGGACAAATGAACTAATGAACTAACAGGGAAGTTTCGCTTTGACATGTTAAACTCATTTGATCATCACTCTGTTGACTCTGTTCATTTACAGAAGAAATTGTCGATCGATTTATCGGCTAACGCCAATTTCACTCTACACAAAGCGTTTGGACGACAAATGACGATATAGTATTTATCTAATAGAAACGGTTTTCATTCAAAATAGCAATCAATTTTATGTTAAAGGGGTTATATCACGAATTTTAGCCCCCCTTTTTTATTAGCTAAATTGAAAGACCTTATTTCAGTGATTTTAAATCTGCAATTATAATTGAAATTGGATTGGTGAAAGTGATTTTATGGACGTTCAAAGTCACGATTTTCAGCATTTTTTTTGCGAACTTTTTGATCGGTATGCTAATGAGTTGTGACGTAGATAGTTGAACACATATATCAACATGGCGTATTCTACTAGTAATCTTAATAAGAAACGCGGAGGAAAACGCTGTGTTGCTGGCGGACCTAATCAAATTAGTTGCGCCAATGATTCAAAAACAGAAGGAATGTCGATGCATCTGTTTCCTAATAAAGAAACAGAGCCGCAAAGACATAGAAAATGGGTAAATTTTGTGCGTAAACATAGACCGGGTTTTGAGGCTTCCTCTACCTCGTGTCTGTGTTCTGCGCATTTTGAAGATTCGTGTTTTGACCTTAATTTGAGCGTGCAAGTCAAGCTCAAAAGAAGGTTGAAGAAAGATGCTATCCCAACCATTGACGTGGCTGGTATTCCTGAACCATTACAGGACGAAATAACCGATCGAAAGCGCAGACAAGTAAGTTTACGCTTGTTTATGTTAATTTTTCTTTTGTCATATGTAAATTCGATATATGTTTTGTAGATTATTCGACATACTAATTTTAAGAATGTTTTGTAGAATATGAGAATTGAAGCATCAGTAACAAATTATTTTTCATATCAATTTCTAGAATATGTTGAACAAGTAAAGAATGTTCTTTTCATGTCTAATAAACAAGAACTTTCAACTATAATGGAAAGATATAGAGGAAAAGCACCCGAACCTTTGTGCAGCCAGTTTCCCAACAAACGATCCAAGGCTGAGGCAGTAAAAAAATATGTTGCGAGGAACAAGCATGTCAGTCATGCACTTTATCCATGCTGTAAGTATGGGATAATGGTATTGTTTACAATTATTTTAGGATGTAATGATCTGCATTTTTCCTTAGTGGAACAGCAAAGACAGCAGTTACAAGACCTAACAGATGATGCAGATCAAATATTAAAAAGCTCTGGGAATAAAAGTACTCGCAAATGTACTAAATGCAAAGCTCCAATGAAAGGACATCCTCAAGGTCAATGCTTCACTGAAAAAGAATAAATTGAAGTTGGTAGATGATAGGGCAGTGGTCAGACATTGCTTGGAGCCTGTCTGGAATGGAGAAGTAAGGCACCTCCTTCCCACCACCAGCCTGAGGGTTCACCTTAGGCAAGTGATAGTACCCTCTAGCCTCCCTATCTGGGCACTGATATACACACCTTTCCTGATGATTACAGTATTAATATAACATTGAATGGTATGTATACTTGTCAGATTGAAGATGACTATCTCACTCGATTGTGCAACTAATTAATTTTCATGAATAATTTTTTTATTGTAGTTTAATGCTCAACATGCCCTTTGTGGATGCAGTGCACTCAAGTGTGAAGACCTTATAAGATAAGTTCATGTGGCTTGCTATTTTCCATTTTACATTTATGCTATGATTTAATTCCATATAATTTTTCTTTTTTTCCCAGACTGACATTGAAGAAAAGATTTTCTTTACCGTATAGTGCATCCATGTATCTCCTACTTGGTTTTCATCTAGGCATATTTTCTGACCATTCTAAACTCAGCAAAGAAGGCCAACAGTCTCTACAGTGCACAAGTTAAAAGACCTTTCCATCATCGCCCCTCTGATGGTATGTAACCTTTTGTGTTACCACTTGGATATGCTTTCCGAATAAAGTGGTAAACACAAGCAGGTAAAGGCCGAGTATTCTCCCATCCCATAGACCCACAAAACCATCGCATCAACCATCTGTATGCCACAGCTCTCAAGTACCTGAAGTAAATAAAAAGGTTGGACTAATTATTGTTGATGAAACAATGTTGATGATAACATTCTTTCTCATACAATTTACAATCTTACATATTTAATGATTGTGATGCTTGGCGGCGATAAGCACGTCCATTCCTATCTCTCAATAGTGGCCCGACGTTTTCAAGGACAGCCTCATGAACTAAAGGCCCAAATTTGGCATGCTGTGTTATGCATGATATTTTCTCAATGCTGCCATCGAATGTCATTTTCTGCAAAGCTGGTCCTATTTCCTTACAGCATCTGTACTCTAATGCGCCTTCTAACAAATCGGTATGACAGCATTGACAATTACACCTGAAACGTGGGAGCATTGTGGTTTATAAAGTAACTTTATGTATATTACAAACAGGAGAAAACAACAACTTACCATTCACCGAGTGGAATTACGCCATCACTTCGTTGTTCTAAGGTCGCAGGAGAATTCCATCGGGATCATCTGGAGTATGCACTTCATCACCATCTCCTGCGAGCGGTTCATCGTCATATGCGAAGTCGTTTAAATGCTCGACATAACCCACGGATTCCGAGCTCGAATCAGATACGCATTCAGACATCGAATTCGAATTATCTGAGCACTGATTTGAAGCCATACTTTCCGGACAACTTGTTTTTTTAATATTTTATTGAAAATACTGTCATTATTTGTTTTTAACACAAGAAAAACGACAACAAAATCACCTCCTATAATATAATATTATATTGACGGAAACAGACGTGTTCAACTATCTACGTCACAAGTATCAATATGGCGTCGTAAAAAATTCGCAAAAAGTACCCGACTTTGGAGGCAAAATTAAGGAACTTATATTTATCTGTTTAAGTCCAGCGACATGTCATAGTTCTTCAAATAATCCAAATTTTCAATTAAGCTAATAAAAAAGGGGGGCTAAAATTCGTGATATAACTCCTTTAAATTTGCGAGGACGTCTCTATAATCGTCGCAAGTAAAGCACCGGAAAAGGATATACATATACGTTCGAGCTTGTCGTCTGCTTTCCGAGAGCGTGAAACTTATATAGCAGTGCATTTTTATATTTTAAGGAACAAACATTACACTTTGCAAAAGACATGGACCAATAGGTCCAATAGGTCCCATTCCACTTTGTTTAATGTAATGTGTAATCAGTCCTATACAACAAATCAATTCCATGCTCATAATGACTCTAAGTATAATGTATGTAAAAAGAATGCTAATGTGCCACGAATAATGACCGCAACATGGTATGTACCATTCAAGTTTGTATGTGTATAAAAGTGATTCCTGCAGGAAACAGCTGAGTAACACGAATCCAGATGAAATCAAATAATATACTTTTACACAAGCACTGAGAGACTGAGAGATACATATATGACACCATAAAATTGATGGTGTTAATGGATGTGTTGATCTTGTGCTGGTTGGCAACAAATTGAACAAAATACAGAAAATATCCTTTAAGCTACAGTTAACATGATTTAATTGGTTGTTGGCTGAGTTTTTGCTTTCATGTCAGCTGCAACATATACATGTAAAGATCAACAATTTAAATGAAGCAATTGCTTTGCTACCGCTTTCCTTTAGCATGCAAATTTTATAAAATGAACTTTGGAAAACTGCTCACCCAAATATTCCCAATTTAATATTTGCATATTATAAATACATACTTGTGTTACTTCTTGCATGTTGTTCTATAAATTGACTTAGTTTTATGAGAATTTGAAAAAAGGGTGATACAATTACTTTGTCTTTATTAAGTGACAAAATATACAAGATATTGCAGTTTGTTGCTCATCATATCAATAGTATGTTTTAAAAATTACTTTGCTTTAGTTCATTTGGTATTGTGTTGCTTAAAACAGATGATAAATAATGGAAAACACTCAATAGCAATTTGTAAATGGCACATTTCGCCTACTCGGTGCAAGAGACAGCATCTACCTTGCGATAGTAGAATATAATTATCTTGCTCTCCAGGGTGCAACCTTGTGTTCATGAATTCATACTTTTTTTGCAACACAGAAGACAAATTTTCTCTGAGAGTTGAATTACTACAGCACTTCTCTCTCTTAGTAGGTGATATAATTGTGTGTGGCCGTTGTTTAAATTGCACAGATATAAATGATATATATTTTGCGAAAAGACATACTATTTATAAGCCAAACACTTTAATTTAACGCTGTGGATATTCACCCGACATCTAGTTTAGTTAATTCAAACAAAGAATTCTATCATTTTAACAATGCCACTTGAATATTTTCAGTTCGTAATCGGATGAAAAATTTCACAAGATTCTGAAGCGCTTAATTCAACAACATATTTCAATTTTAGAAATAACAAAGCTCTTTGTTAATCATATTGACATAATTTATAAGATGACGCTTGAGTGCTGCCGAGATTTTTGCGTTTTTGAAGAGTTAGGAATAGAACGCGGAAAGGAATAGCGGAAGCGGAATGAGGGAAACAGAATGGCGGAAGCAGAATAGAGGGTAAAACGCGGAATAAAAAATGCTGTATAAAAAGCTGTATACGGTAAAGTAATTATAACTATTTTCCTTAATTAATATATGGATAGTTCAATTTAAGACAATGAGCGGATGTGAAAGTTAACTAAAATGAAAATTCACTATTTATATTAATTAAATATGTGCGTATTTGGAACTTGAAATTAACTCGGGAATCATTGGAGTCATAGTGTTCACTAAACCCTGAAAATATATCATGAAAAAAGTCATAACAAAACAGTTCAATATTTGTAAATGTAGATCGTTCAGGTTGGTATAGTCCTGAGAAGGACTGTTTTTTTGTTGTTGCTGACTAAGATAACTCTGAAGATGACTCTGAAGATGACTACCGCTAAGGTTGTCGAAACGTCAGTCAACAACAACAAAAACAGTCCTTCTCAGGACTATACCAACCTAGACGATCTACAGTTACAAACATGTAACGATACTCCCGGGTTCAAACCATTTACTTTAAAACAGTTCAAGATATTAGACAAATGCAAGCTTTGCAGGTGATCACCAATATCGATTATTTCTCGTTCGTGCATACGGTACGAAAAACTTTAACTTAGTAGGAGCAGTAAATTTGTATTTAACCAGTTTAGTGCATTTATCGTAGTTAATTTATTGACTGGCTCATTTCGCTCACAGTACGTTTTGAAGAGTTTAATGAAAGGCATAAAGCAAATGAGCATATTTTGCTTTCCTGTCTGTCACAATTTACAAATATTTTTTGTGCGAATTTACATAATATCAAATGACAGCAAAACTTACTCAATTACGCATCAAATATATGAGCAGGAAATACAATTAATTATTTTCAGATACTTGCAATGTGTAAAATATTTCCTTTTGAAAAATTAAACGTTGTTTTTTCAAGACACAGAATACTTGGAATGTATATTCTTTTGAAGAAGTTACAAGAAAAATGTAACAACAAACATCACGACCGTTTAGCTCAAAAATAGTAAAACAAGTATCGTATATTATTTTTACCAATACAAGTTAAGTAAGTGTGCTCATTCATTTAAATCGACGACATTTCATTCACGTCATTGAACTGTTTTAAAAGATAAGTTTTTGCCATTGTTTCATGTAACTAAAACTCACTTATCCACCAGTTGGATGTCTCTTTTCTCGCTTTATTCAAATATTGCGAGCTTCTTTACTTTTTAACTTGTTGACATCAATTGATTTTGCCCGTTTCCATGTAGTTTTTGTTAATGTTGTTTCAACATGAGACAAGATTATCACACACAAATTGTAATAATAGCAAGTTATAGCACAAATCTAACATCGCACAAGCAACATACAATAATAACGTAGGAAATGGCGCTCTTTACCAAGAAAATGATATGAAAGTAAAAAAGGCTGTAGTTTTTGCGTCCACAGGTGGATGGTCTGATCCCCAGAAGTCTTTATATGTATATAATTATGCAAACCTGAATATCTTCTTGGAGACAACAGGAGGTCAAAACACGCATGTTCTCTGTTGTAAACGCAAAATCTGTCACTAGGATTGTGAGAATGTATGATTCGGGTAATGAATTTTGTGGTGTAAGTCGAAAAAATATATACGGCAAGTTTTTTGAAAATAGACATGTTTCGACATCTCATGATGCCATCTTCAGTATGAGTGAAATAATAAGTGATACAAGGTTTATATAAAAGTAATAAGATACATAAATTACAACAATCAAAGGGAAATAAGATAGATTAATGGGGAGCGTCCGAGCGTATTATAAACTAAATATTGTATGTTTGTAAATGATGATCGTCCAGGTTAATAAAGTCCTGAGAAGGACTGTTTTTGATGTTGTTGACTGACGTTTCGACAACCTTAGCGGTAGTCATCTTCAGAGTCAAATGAGGAGTAAACGTCAGGTTAGCCGTATTTGTTGTCTGGTTCTTACGTCATTGTATTGTGTGTACAGGAAATGTGCAGGAAATGTGTATTGTCATTGTGGATTAGTGTGAAGTGAAATATTTTATTTTTAGTTGTGATGTGTGATTTAGGTGTAACGTTTTAGTTGTAGTGTGGGTGTCAATGGTGTATTGTCATTGTGAATTAGTTTGAAGTGTAATGTTTTAGTTGATCGTTTGTTTGTATTGTGAATAAGTCGTTTGTAAGGTGCCGGTAATTGCTGTGATCTGTTCAGGGGGGTTTGCTCCAAGTTGGTATACCAACTTTCTAATGTAAGCCGTTGTCTATAGTCAGTACTGTAAGTGATGCATTTTGCCGAGTCCCAGTCAATGTTGTGCTTTGTGATTCGGTGATGTTCGGCAATGTGATTAGTTTTGTCTTGTTTCTTAGTAGCTCGTTTGTGCTCAGTAAGTCTTATGTTTTACACCACACTACAACTAAAAACGTTACACCTAAATCACATCACAACTAAAAATAAAATATTTCACTTCACACTAATCCACAATGACAATACACATTTCCTGCACATTTCCTGTACACACAATACAATGACGTAAGAACCAGACAACAAATACGGCTAACCTGACGTTTACTCCTCATTTGACTCTGAAGATGACTACCGCTAAGGTTGTCGAAACGTCAGTCAACAACATCAAAAACAGTCCTTCTCAGGACTTTATTAACCTGGACGATCATCATTTACAAACATATAACGATACTCCCAGGTTCAAACCATTTACTTTATTACGATCATTTGGACGACAGAGCGAACAACTTGCTAACGACTACATACGTTTTGCAAGCAACGTCAGACGCATACGCCAACAACTCTGGTTTAACCACCGCTGCAAGGATTTTGGTCTCGTTCCGGCAGGACTTAGAATTAAGTCTCCGTTGAACACACAAGAGGCTATTCAGATTATCAAATCCACCAGCAGACGACTGATACGGGCACGGATTAACGACTGTCACAGACGAATCAACTATTACATCAAACAACAAGAACAAAGACTGAACAAACTGAAGGAACTCATACCAACGACAGTAAGTGATACTTTACTTTCTACCATACAAACTATTGCAGAGAAACGAGCAAACAAGACAGAGACACAACACCAAATCAAACAACAACAAAAACTTGAACGTTTAAAACAAACTAAAACACGTGCAAGACATAAACATGACGATAACTGGGTGAGGAATATTTCTTCCCGCCCATTAGACGAAACTGAAACGCGACTACTATCTTACGGACTAAAACATTCCATAACACCTAGACAAATCCCGACTGAGACGATAGTATCAAGTGTCGAGGCTGTCCTAGCGTATCAAAGAGACTTGTCAGAAACAACAAAAGACGAGATCAGAAGCAGGATAGCCTCCACTTTACAATCGTCCTCTATACGTGACAACAACTTGACAAAAGACGAACAACAAGCACTCAAACGACTAAAACACGACAACAACGTCATTTTACCAGCAGACAAAGGACGCGTGACTGTGGTCATGGACAGGAATGATTACTTTAACAAAATGGACGCACTTGTGAACGACAGACAAACGTACGAACAACTCAAACGAGACCCAACACCATCACTAGTACGCAAACTAACAGCAAGATCTTCTCTATGAGAAAATCTAACATTATATCTGAACGTATTTACTATCGACTCAGATGTTCAGTACCACGACCACCCAGACTATACGGACTACCAAAACTTCACAAACCACAAATACCCATGCGACCAATTGTATCATTCTGTGGTTCGCCTACTTACGAACTTTCAAAGTACTTGACTAACATACTGCAACCACTTACAAACAAATCAAAACACAAGCTACAATCCACTGAAACTTTCATTAAAAAACTGTGCACTATACAAATACCAGACAACTATATACTAGTGTCTTTTGATGTGAAATCACTGTTCACCAGTATTCCACTTAATCTGGCACTTACTTGTACAAAAACCCTCATTACAAACACCACGGACGTACTGCCATTACCGACAGAAGACATTATGGAGTTACTAGAGCTCTGCCTCACCTCGACTTACTTCCAATACAAAAGAACACACTACAAACAATTACATGGGACAGCAATGGGCTCGCCCGTTTCTGTTGTAGTTGCTGAAATTGTAATGCAATCTATAGAGGAACGGGCACTCATGACTTACAAACATGCACTACCTTTTTGGTTTCGCTACGTAGATGACACAATCACAGCACTACATGCAGACGAGATTGATGACTTCCATACTCACATCAACAAACAGAACAGCCACATACAATTTACCAAAGATGTCGAAGAAAACGGAACTCTTCCTTTTCTCGACTGTTTGGTAAAACATGACAATCAAAACTACGAACAACAGTTTATCGCAAGCCAACACATACTGACCGACTACTAGACCAATCATCTTACAACCCTACATCACACAAAGCCACCACAATCAGAACATTAACAAGACGTGCACAAATCATATGTGATTCACCGGACGCTCTACAAAACGAAAACAACTATCTCAAACGTGTTTTGACAAAACAACTATAACTCTGACTTTATCAAACGCAACACTTACAAACCCAACGAACCCAACGAAACGAACAACTCAGTGACAACAGCAACGATACCTTACATCAAAGGTACGTCTGAGACTATCTCGCGTATCTTACGACCATACAACATACGTGTCGCACATAAACCAATCACAACATTACGACAAGTACTAACGAACATAAAGGACAAAGAACAACCCAACGAACGACAAGGTGCAGTTTACAAAATAAACTGCTCCGACTGCCACGCCTCCTATATCGGGGAAACTGGCAGGAACTTAAACATAAGACTTACTGAGCACAAACGAGCTACTAAGAAACAAGACAAAACTAATCACATTGCCGAACATCACCGAATCACAAAGCACAACATTGACTGGGACTCGGCAAAATGCATCACTTACAGTACTGACTATAGACAACGGCTTACATTAGAAAGTTGGTATACCAACTTGGAACAAACCCCCCCCTGAACAGATCACAGCAATTACCGGCACCTTACAAACGACTTATTCACAATACAAACAAACGATCAACTAAAAACATTACACTTCAAACTAATTCACAATGACAATACACAATTGACACCCACACATTACAACTAAAAACGTCACACCTAAATCACACATCACAACTAAAAATAAAATATTTCACTTCACACTAATCCACAATGACAATACACATTTCCTGTACACACAATACAATGACGTAAGAACCAGACAACAAATACGGCTAACCTGACGTTTACTCCTCATTTGACTCTGAAGATGACTACCGCTAAGGTTGTCGAAACGTCAGTCAACAACATCAAAAACAGTCCTTCTCAGGACTTTATTAACCTGGACGATCATCATTTACAAACATATAACGATACTCCCAGGTTCAAACCATTTACTTTATTACGATCATTTGGACGACAGAGCGAACAACTTGCTAACGACTACATACGTTTTGCAAGCAACGTCAGACGCATACGCCAACAACTCTGGTTTAACCACCGCTGCAAGGATTTTGGTCTCGTTCCGGCAGGACTTAGAATTAAGTCTCCGTTGAACACACAAGAGGCTATTCAGATTGTCAAATCCACCAGCAGACGACTGATACGAGCACGGATTAACGACTGTCACAGACGAATCAACTATTACATCAAACAACAAGAACAAAGACTGAACAAACTGAAGGAACTCATACCAACGACAGTAAGTGATACTTTACTTTCTACCATACAAACTATTGCAGAGAAACGAGCAAACAAGACAGAGACACAACACCAAATCAAACAACAACAAAAACTTGAACGTTTAAAACAAACTAAAACACGTGCAAGACATAAACATGACGATAACTGGGTGAGGAATATTTCTTCCCGCCCATTAGACGAAACTGAAACGCGACTACTATCTTACGGACTAAAACATTCCATAACACCTAGACAAATCCCGACTGAGACGATAGTATCAAGTGTCGAGGCTGTCCTAGCGTATCAAAGAGACTTGTCAGAGACAACAAAGACGAGATCAGAAGCAGGATAGCCTCCACTTTACAATCGTCCTCTATACGTGACAACAACTTGACAAAAGACGAACAACAAGCACTCAAACGACTAAAACACGACAACAACGTCATTTTACCAGCAGACAAAGGACGCGTGACTGTGGTCATGGACAGGAATGATTACTTTAACAAAATGGACACCCTTGTTAACGACAGACAAACGTACGAAAAACTCAAACGAGACCCAACACCATCACTAGTACGCAAACTTAACAGCAAGATCTTCTCTATGAGAAAATCTAACATTATATCTGAACGTATTTACTATCGACTTAGATGTTCAGTACCACGACCACCCAGACTATACGGACTACCAAAGCTTCACAAACCACAAATACCCATGCGACCAATTGTATCATTCTGTGTTTCGCCTACTTACGAACTTTCAAAGTACTTGACTGACATACTGCAACCACTTACAAACAAATCAAAACACAAGCTACAATCCACTGAAACTTTCATTAAAAAAACTGTGCACTCACTATACAAATACCGGACAACTATATACTAGTGTCTTTTGATGTGAAATCACTGTTCACCAGTATTCCACTTAATCTGGCACTTACTTGTACAAAAAACCCTCATTACAAACACCACGGACGTACTGCCATTACCGACAGAAGACATTATGGAGTTACTAGAGCTCTGCCTCACCTCGACTTACTTCCAATACAAAGGAACACACTACAAACAATTACATGGGACAGCAATGGGCTCGCCCGTTTCTGTTGTAGTTGCTGAAATTGTAATGCAATCTATAGAGGAACGGGCACTCATGACTTACAAACATGCACTACCTTTTTGGTTTCGCTACGTAGATGACACAATCACAGCACTACATGCAGACGAGATTGATGACTTCCATACTCACATCAACAAACAGAACAGCCACATACAATTTACCAAAGATGTCGAAGAAAACGGAACTCTTCCTTTTCTCGACTGTTTGGTAAAACATGACAATCAAAACTACGAACAACAGTTTATCGCAAGCCAACACATACTGACCGACTACTAGACCAATCATCTTACAACCCTACATCACACAAAGCCACCACAATCAGAACATTAACAAGACGTGCACAAATCATATGTGATTCACCGGACGCTCTACAAAACGAAAACAACTATCTCAAACGTGTTTTGACAAAACAACTATAACTCTGACTTTATCAAACGCAACACTTACAAACCCAACGAACCCAACGAAACGAACAACTCAGTGACAACAGCAACGATACCTTACATCAAAGGTACGTCTGAGACTATCTCGCGTATCTTACGACCATACAACATACGTGTCGCACATAAACCAATCACAACATTACGACAAGTACTAACGAACATAAAGGACAAAGAACAACCCAACGAACGACAAGGTGCAGTTTACAAAATAAACTGCTCCGACTGCCACGCCTCCTATATCGGGGAAACTGGCAGGAACTTAAACATAAGACTAACTGAGCACAAACGAGCTACTAAGAAACAAGACAAAACTAATCACATTGCCGAACATCACCGAATCACAAAGCACAACATTGACTGGGACTCGGCAAAATGCATCACTTACAGTACTGACTATAGACAACGGCTTACATTAGAAAGTTGGAACACCAACTTGGAACAAACCCCCCTGAACAGATCACAGCAATTACCGGCACCTTACAAACGACTTATTCACAATACAAACAAACGATCAACTAAAAACATTACACTTCAAACTAATTCACAATGACAATACACAATTGACACCCACACATTACAACTAAGAACATCACACCTAAATCACACATCACAACTAAAAATAAAATATTTCACTTCACACTAATTCACAATGACAATACACGTTTCCTGTACACACAATACAATGACGTAAGAACCAGACAACAAATACGGCTAACCTGACGTTTACTCCTCATTTGACTCTGAAGATGACTACCGCTAAGGTTGTCGAAACGTCAGTCAACAACATCAAAAACAGTCCTTCTCAGGACTTTATTAACCTGGACGATCATCATTTACAAACATATAACGATACTCCCAGGTTCAAACCATTTACTTTAAATATTGTATTGAATTTAAAAACTTGAACATTGAGGCAAGGTTAGTTTTGTTAATGTGGAGTGTTTGTTTGATTTTAAGGGTGAATGAAATGTCGGCCGTGTCGATGATTTTGAAGCAAGAGGGTGAATAGTTGGTTTTACATAAGTGACTTTAAGAAGGTGTCGGTAGATATGAGAGTTTTTGTCTGTTGTGGTATGTTCCCTGATTCTGGTGTATAAATGGCGCGAAGTTTCGCCAATGTATCGGGAATTACATCCCGCGCAATTGAATTCATATACCACCATAGATTTAATTCAATCAAGGATTGGGTATTTGAATGAGAAAAGGTTTTCGATTATAAATGATGTGAAAACTAGTCGAATGTCAATATCTGTACAGAAAGGTTTCATAATCTTTGTAAGTCTGCGTTGTGTGTGTGAGTAATGTCCGTTATATGGTAGATGAACAGATCTGTAATACATATTGTAAAATGCTTGGATTGAGTGAAGAGCTTTCCAATATCAACTGATTTGTGTAACTTAGTACTCACTGCTTATTTTCTTTTTGTAATGTCGCGATGTGTATTTTTATAGTTTAAGATAAATTCTACAATTTCAAAATCTTATATTTGTCAGAAAGGTAACAGTTAATGAGATTAAAGATCACATGATTAATTAAAGACAGCAGGTATTTCTTATGTGTTTTGCATTCTGTAGTGAGCTTTTTGGAACAAAAAGGAATGTACAGCATCATTTGTAAGCAAGCTTTCTACTTCTGGTATAATTTCCTCACACCTAGCTCTTAAATTTGGGTCAAGGTAGTCATTTCATAAGATATCATTCCTGATAACTCACAAACATCGTGCAAAGATTTTGAAGCGAATTTCACTTCAAATAAGAATCGAAAATTATACTCTATCATTAACTGATTTAAAGTTGATTTATGGACTGAGAAAAAGAGGTCGCCAAAGCAGAAGAAGATTCCATAGGTAATCACCACTGTTCTCTGCATTATACCTCTCTGGAAAGCAGTACAAGGGATCTGGTATTCCTTTGGGTGACCTTGAATATTTTTGTTTTCGTACTCTATGTGAGTTCCAAATAAAAGAGCGAAAAGTGTCCAGTTCCTTTTGAAGTACAGGTATGAAAATGTAATCTAGGACAGGCCTGTAAAGAGAACTGCAATGCTATAGAATACATGAAACCAAGATATGATATGAAACATTTAGACAAGTCTCTCTGATCAAAAGACTTGTCAGAGACAACAAAGACGATATCAGAAGCGGGGTAGCCTCTGCTTTGCCTCTATACGTGACAGCAACTTGTCAAAGGATGAGCAACAAGCACTCAAACGACTAAAACCCGATAACAACAGCGTCATTTTGCCAGCAGACAAAGGACGCGTGACTGTGGTCATGGACAGGAATTATTACTTCGACAAAATGGACACCCTTGTTAATGACAGACAAACGTACGAACAACTCAAACGAGACCCAACGCCATCACTAGTACGCAAACTTAACAGCAAGATCATCTCTATGGGAAAATCTAACATTATATCTGAACGTATTTTCTATCGACTAAGATGTTCAGTACCACCACCAGTCAGACTATACGGACTACCGAAACTTCACATACCACAAATACCCATGCGACCAATTGTATCATTCTGTGGTTCGCCTACTTACGAACTCTCAAAGTACTTGACCGACATACTGCAACCAGTTACAAGCAAATCAAAACACAAGCTACAAACCACTGAAATTTCATTAAAAAACTGAGCAGTATACAAATACCCGACAATTATATACTAGTATCTTTTGATGTAAAGTCACTGTTCACCAGTATTCCACTTAATCTGGCACTTACTTGTACAAAAACCCTCATTACAGACACCACGGACTTACTGCCATTACCGACAGAAGACATAATGGAGCTACTGGAGCTCGTCCTCACCTGGACTTACTTCCAGCACAAAGATACACACTACAAACAATTATATGGAACAGCAACGGGCTCACTCGTTTCTGTTGTAGATGCTGAAATTGCAATGCAATCTATAGAGGAACGGGCGCTCACGACTTACAAACATGCACTACCTTTTTGGTTTCGCTACGTAGATGACACAATCACAGCAATACATGTAGACCAGATTGATGACTTTCACATTCACATCAACAAACAGAACAACCACATACTATTTACCAAAGATGTTGAAGAAAAAGGAATTCTTCCTTTTCTCGACTGTCTGGTAAAACAGGACAATCAGATACTACGAACAACAGTTTATCGCAAACCAACACACACTGACCGACTACTAGACCAATCGTCTTACAACCCTACATCACACAAAGCCACCACAATCAGAACATTAACAAGACTTGCACAAACTATATGTGACTCACCGGACGCTCTACACAACGAAAACAACTATCTCAAACGTGTTTTTGACAAAAACAACTATAATTCTGACTTCAACAAACGCAACACATACAAACCCAACGAACCTAACGAAACAAACAACTCAGTGACAACAGCAACAATACCTTACATCAAAGGGACGTATCTTACGACCATACAACATACGTGTCGCACATAAACCAATCACAACGTTACTACAAGTAATAACGAACATAAAGGATAAAGAAGAACACAGCGAACGACAAGATGCAATTTACAAAATAAACTGCTACGACTGCCACGTCTCATATTGTTGGGTTTGATGCAGTGGCCATGATAAATAATCACACTGATGTCTGGAGGTTTTATTACATTTATTCTCACACATAGAAGAAAGACTAGCACACGACAACTAACTGATACATATAATGATAGAGCTATTTACATATGTGACGCTAAAATAAGATTGGTCAGTTTATTTCCTCAGCTCTTGTTACAAATAATATCGATTACGTTTACAATCATTTCTATAATTAAACATGTAGGAATGTAACACACACTTTACAAGATACACATATACACATCACATGAGAGCATAACCTAACACATATATCGTGGAAACTGGCAGGAACTTAAACATAAGACTTACTGAACACAAAAGAGCTACAAAGAAACAAGACAAAACTAATCACATTGGCGAACATCACCGAATCACAAAGCACAACATTGACCGGGACTCGGAAAAATGCATTATCTACAGTACTGACTATAAACAACGGCTTACATTAGAAAGTTGGCATACCAACTTGGAACAAACCCCCCTGAACAGATCACAGAAATTACGGGCACCTTACAAACGAGTTATTCACAATACAAACAAACAATGTACTAAAATCATTACACTTCACATTAATTCACAATGACAATACACAATTTACACCCACACATTACAAATAAAAACATCACAACTAAATCACACATCACAACTAAAAACATCACACTTTATATTAATTCACAATGACAATACAGATTTGACACCCACACATTTCCTGTACACACAATACAATGACGTAGAACCAGATAACAAATACGGCTAACCTAACGATTACTCCTCATTTGATTCTGAAAATGACTACCGCTAAGGTTGTCAAAACGTCAGTCAACAACAACAAAAACAGTCCTTCTCAGGACTATACTAAACCTGGACGATCTATAATTATGTAAAGAGTCATTATATCGTACACGAGACCACTCAGCACAGCAAGTCCGTGTTTTTCACGTACTCGTTTGTGTATTGCACAGTATCCAATAAGCTGTCCATGTCTTCCGTTTTCAGCTTGAAATGCAGCTCTAACTTGCTCAACAGTTGTGTTGTACGTAATTTATGTACTTAATATCAAAATACTTCATACAAATTAACGAGTCTCCAGGAATATTGTGAAAGGTCTGTCGTCATAAAAACACGAATTTCGCTTCGAATTAAGTTCTGTAACACCAAACACCTTATGCTTTCTTTCAGCTCATTGTCATCTTTCCAATTAGTATCTCTCTTATAACCACACTCCACCATATTTGTTTGTTTTGCCATTAAATTTAGAATTTCCGTCATTTTGTTTGACGCCTGCAAGTTATCATGGTCTATAATAGCGTTGGGCCGTTTTTAATTTTAAAATTTCAAAATAAAATTTAAAACTGAAACTTTTACTTTAAAATTTAATTTTATTTTTAGTTTTTTTTATTAATTTTACAATTCATATTTATATTTTATTTTATTTTATTTATTTTTTTTAATTTGTGATTTTCTTTGTTTTATAGGTTTGTTTTTCTTTTATATTTATTGGGATTTTTCAAAAGATTTTGAATGACAACAATGGGCCACCATACAATACTACATAATGCTGATTACCTCTAATGCTGACACAGAGATTACTGTGTTAGTTAGCAATAATCTAATACAAGATAACATCAAGTAAAGCCTCAGTCTTAATTAAAAATATATAATTTGTAAATATAGCATATATACGCGACTGAGTTCACTTAGCTCAGTGACCTGAAACATAAGTGTATTATAATTAGCTATTAAAGATAATTCAAAAACCGTTGCATGTCTTCTGTTATGCTCTTAAATAGCTAAGCATTTTACTTCATTACAACTTAAAGAAATTGAAAAGTACAGATTGCCATGTTTGTGAAATTAATGCATCTTAAGTATTTAATTTTGCTTCATATTTTAAACAAAATTCCAAAAATCCAAGGTCTTGTTGCAATGGGGTCACCAATTTTCCCAATTTTTCTCAATATTTCATCGCACAAGAATTATGATCATGGGTACATGAAAAAGCGCAATTTCTTAATTCAACCAACCTAATTTACATAATTTATGTTAATAAAGCAACTAGCGTGATGTCATTTTGAGGAAATTTTTAAAAACATGAAATCCTACCCCGAGGAAGGTTATACTCTTTTTGCAACTCTGATGGGGCTAGAATGCTTTATGTTGTTTTTTATTATAGAGGCAAGGTTTACCGGAAGGCCTTCTATTTCATAAAGTAGGGAGCTCTTCATTATTGAGAAAACATGTTGGACTGATCAAATAGAAAAGTGCACAAACATTTATAATGTATTGCTTTGTTTACCTCTAAAAAACTAAATAAAAATTTAACGTCCTTGTGTGGAAGTAGAATTATAAAAATTAAGCTTTACTGGTGTTTTCAACTTTACAAAAACAATTAAATACACAAACTCTTATTTTGAATTTGTTTTGTTCTTTTTTCGGAAAAGCTAATATTTTTTTCTAAATGTGCCATATCAATCATAAATTCTACATACGACTGCCAGTCTTTGAAAAATCTCATGTAGACAACAATATTATGTTATCTCATTTTGCGTCATACTTCCATAAAGGGATCGGACGATTTATCTTTTCTCTTTATTATTGGTTCAGCAGTTTGTGTATGCCATACTAGTATCTGTAAAACAATAAAAGTATTTGAAAAGCTTATAAACATCTGAATTACTCTAAAATTAATAATGCTCGCTAACTTTTGTACAATCATTAGCCAAAGGTTCGAGTTCCTCAATTGACACCAAACTCTCTAGCAGATTTGTTTCCAAAAACCCAATCGGCGCATTTATATTAATAAATACTGTTGGCTTATGTAAAAGTAGATTAAGATTTAAAGCAAAGCCTGCCATATCCACTGGAAACCGTCGGTAGGGTTTCCAAAGAGTCCAAAATTTCATAACTTTGCCATTTTTGCAAATTGGACCAGCCCATTTGAATGCACCAGTAAAGCCGACTGGCCAAACTGACACTTTCTTTGTCCATCTCATCTAATTGTGTAAAAAAGAGGTACAAAACATTTTGAAACTAACAAAAAGAATGCTTGTTGATCCATTAGTAGAATATTTCCTGAAATGAATTAGTTGTGTAAAAATATTACTGCAAGATATAACAATAATAAATTTCAAATGCAGATTCTTGTGATCTCAGTTACGACACGAGTTTTAAACAACCTTACACATCATGACAGGTATTTAAAGTTTTCCCGCCATACTATAAGCTACATATAAAGTTGTCTTACCGTAGTATAACTTTCTATTTATCATACGTTTTTACACGTTAATGTAAACATTGAGCTACGTCAATGAAAGCGAACTATGTCAAGGTAAAAATCTCATAACTTTCACTTTTTTGTTACATAGTGAACTCCATTATGCAAAAATACGCCTCTTATGAGCACAGACAAAAAGTTTCATAATTTAATAAACTGAGAACATACCTTTATCAAGTTTCATAAAATTTGTAAATCAGATGTTTTCATGCAATAGCTATTGGAATAAAATCTTGCAACAATACAAACAAAATAATATGAAAAAGTAAAGAAGCGATTGTAATTAATCCAAACACAGAAAAATGAAATATATCACTGCTTAAAATGAATGGTTTCAGCCTTGGAGTATCATTACATCTTCATGGATGTAAATCGTTCATGTTGGCAGAATTCTGAGAAAGGTTGCTGTTGCTGATGTTAACTAACGTTTCAACAACCTAGGCAGTAGTCACCTTCAGAGATGTGGCTGAAATTTGTGGATTGAAATAATGGAAGAAGAGGCGCTCGCAACTTACAAAAATGTACTACCTTTTTGGTTAGGCTACATAGATGACATATTCACAGCACTACATGTAGACGAGATTGATGACTTTCTAACTCACATGGAACTCTTCTTTTTCTCAACTGTTTGATGAAACATGACAATCAAAAACTACGGACTACAGTTTATCGAAAACCAACACACATTGACCAATTACTTGACCAATCAACGTACAACACTATATCACACAAAGCAACCACGATTAAAACATTAAACAAGACGTGCCAAAATCATATGTGATTCACCGGACGCTCTACACAACAAAAACAATTATCTCAAACGTGTTTTAGACAAATACAACCATAACTCTGATTTCATCAAACGTAATATTTACAAACCTAATAAACACAACAAAACGAGCTATTTAACGAAAACAGCAACGATAAATTATATCAAAGGTACGTCTGAGACTATGTCACGTATCTTACGACCATACAATATACGTGTTGCATATAAACTAATCACAACGTTACGATAAGTACTAACGAACATAAAGGACAAAGAAGAACCCAGCGAACGACAAGATGCAATTTACAAAATAAACTGCTACGACTGCCACGCCTCCTATATCGGGGAAACTTGCAGGAACTTAAGCAACCGGCAAAACACAACACTGATTGGGACTTGGCAAAATGAATTACTTATAGCACCAATTAGAGATAATGAAGACTCATCTGCGTAGCACAACATCGGCAAGGACAAAAATAACGAAAGTTTGCCAAACGAGTTACACATCTCTTCGTTCCATGTATTATTCTGTAACCATATTTAATTGCCTCCCATAGACTCAGTTTTATTGTACATTAGTGAGTATCACACCACATCAAAGTGTGTATAAAAAGGAAGACGTTTAGAAAGAAACTACTGTGAAATTTCAATGCGTTACTCTACATGTTAGTCAACAGGTGCATAATTTTCTAAGAAAAGGAGCAAAGGGATGGATCCGTGTTAAATCGTAGTAGCAGAAAAGTTTTTTGTGCTAATATAAAAGATAAATACAATATGCAAGTAGTTGAAAATTCATTTTGCGCATGCGTGCTAAGCTTTAAAACGCATCGAAATTATCAAAATAGGTCAATTTTTAGTGGCATACTTAATTAATTATTACACCAGTACATTCGAAATATAAAACACAAACAATGACATTTACCTGCTCAAATATCTGTAAATCGTAGGTATTATCATCATCTGCAAAGTACACTACACCACTTGCAGCAGATCGTTTAATGTTCTTTCTGAGCCATGTTAGTCCGGCATTCCTTTGCTCCACACCTCTATGCTTCTTCTATCGAGGATCTTTCTTACGACGTCGTAAACGTTTTCTTGTTCTTATTGCTAAGTGTGTGTAAAGAACACCACAATTTTCCATAAACCTAATGATTGAATTACTTTTTACTTTTGAGTCTTCAACCAATATCCAGTGCATGTGTTCAACATGCATTAACGTTTGACACAGTCTAATTAGATCTGCTTTTTGGGTCAGTCTTTTATATGTCGGAGTAATGGCATAAATATACGGTAAACTCTCCTGGATATATTTAAATTTTTGTAAATTTCTTTCGTGTTCATTTTGAAAATTAGCTTGAAAATTTTGTTTGCGGTAAAGCATATCTTTTGTTACATAATTCAAGTATTTCGTTTTTACTTTGTTGTTGGAATTATCGCTAGGACTTCTGCAGCCTAAAAACAAAAATGTGGCTATAAATCGTTACCATGAAAAGGCAGTCAAATCAAGACAAAGTTGTAAAAAAGACAATTAAATTAAGAGGATCGATTGATAAATTAAGTTTATAGAAAGATTTACCTTTTAAGTAGACGAAAAGAAGCCATAGTAAATAAGTGTAAAGCAAAACAAAAACACTGCGTTTTGATATGATATACTTGAATGCCATTAGTACAAGAGAAAGCATGACATAACTCCGACAGAAATTCATGGTTATAATTGTTTGCAGGTGGCTTTTAAAATTAACAATAGGAATGCTTAAAAACTCTTTGACGACACCAACGCCGGTTTGTAGCCTAAACGAGCATATATATTTTAAGATATAGAAATTATTAAACGATGTACTACAAATGGACAATCAGTTTCAGTTTATTTTTAAATATTTGAATTTTTCATTAATCGAATCTTTTTCAGGATATAATCAGTTCACTTGACTTTAGAAATCTTAACGTAAATAGGCGTAGGATAATATAGACAATTATTGTATAGTGATTTTTAAATAATTGCGAAACGAGGACTAACAGATAATATAATAAAATATGATCAAAGAAAGTTTGCAGTCATGACTTTAAAAGATCATCTGCATTATCTTCATGTAATCTTGGAAACTTTAAATGATATTCCAGATATCGTATCCAGATATCTTAAAAATGATTGCATATTCTTAGCTACTTTTTACGTGTATAGATAGAGGAACAAAATCAAATTATCTTTGAAAAGGTCAATTTTATACTTAGGTGACTATTACATTTAATTTTATGAATCACCGGTGCACATTTATAAAATGCTAAGAATTTTCACATGTAATAAAGGGACAGCTATCATACTTTATTTACGATGGCAAAATATTGAGGTCACTGCTTCTTATGATAGATATATTGACCTCAAAATTTTTAGATATTGACATACAATTAATATACCTCTAATATTAAAAGCCTAGAACTTAAGAACCTGCTAAGCAAAGCCAATAATTTTGGACTCCCTATTTGTTAAAACCTTTTCACGCTATGACTTTAAACAGGTCCTTTTGTTTGAGGTTTTTACGTAGATGTGAATACATAATGAATTTAAGAAAGTGTATCATTTCTCCAAAGACAGTGAGTGTATCTTCTATTGATTATTATAACACATAAATCACTTTAAAAACTTTTATACGTGTCGCTGGTTCGCTTTCCTGCCGTTTACAGTGAAGAGAAAATTAGGGCGGAAGAAGAGAGAGACTACGAATCGGCAGTTAAATGCCTGTTCCAGTCACGTGGATTTCCCTGGAAAAAAATTAAGTAATTGTAATAATAATTTACTAATAATTCCACATTTGAATTATAAATTAAACATGGCTACACTTGGTAAATGATTGATTCATCGCATTCATGTACTAAAATAGACATCTTTCATTCGGAATAAAGCTTATATGCATTTCAGCTGCTCTTACTGAAGCTTTTCCACTTTAAAAAAGCAAAGTATTGTATCCGTAGCACTTTCAAATTCTTCTTCTTCAAACAACGATCGACGCCATCTTGCTCGCCAAAATATCAATATATATGAAATATATGAATTATTATTAAATAGCCAATCAGCGTCTTTCCCGGATTTTCCAGATAAATTCACGTGACTGGAACAAGCATTCGCTACCGATTCTCAGTCTCTACATTCTATCGCCCTTATGTTCTCTCCCCGTAGAGACTGCACGCAGGCATCTGCTACCGATTCTCAGTCTCTACATTCTATCGCCCTTATGTTCTCTCCCACGTAGAGACTGCACGCAGGCATCTGGTACGCTGGCTACCCACGATTTTTATAGGGCAACAGAGTAGACTAAAAAGCAACTGACCGATTTTCCGTGATTCATCTTTATGAACTAGCTGATGTAGCATATAAACAATGTAATTTTCGATAATTTGAGCGTATAATCCCGTCCCTCAGATTGTCAATTTCCAACCTTCATTTTCGGGCTTGTACTAATCAAAAGCCTCTTCGTATGTCTATTACGTTTTCACAGGTTATCTTACATAACCCTATTCAAACACAATATACATCTTGGTTTCCTTGCGATTTCAGTCATGCGCCAGCTTTACACTTTACAATTTTTATTGCTTTATTTTGCAAAGTTATTGATGCTATTCCACCTTTTTTGTTTTTTAGCAGGTTGTAATTCATAAATTCGAAAGTGTTAAAAATAAGTGAAAAAAAGACATTCAGAAAAGTACTTTAGAAATGCAGATAGAACTATTGCTTTATGTTGTAATACAAAAATATTGAAGCATTGCAAGCTCAGAATAGTTGTCAAATGTTAAATTTTACCTGCGTACATGCTAGTGCATTGGAAGCACAAGATAAAAGTAGTTTTCTGCAATATATTTAATGTTGCATCAAGCAATAAATAAATACATCACTTCAAAGAAACCTGTCATCACCAAGGTATTCAGCATACTCTTTTGTTGAAAAAAAGGATTTCTTTAAACCTGTTGCTAGACATAAAGATATCAGCAGGTCTAAGATGAAACAAGAAAATGACAATTATTTAAATGTCAATGAGAATGTAAAATTTGTTAGAAGAAAGCATCCACCAACAGACTTGGAAGATAACATTTTCGAGGCCAGCATTCAAGAAGCAACTTGAGCATTTTTTTTGAGTGCGTTTCGTATGTGCACGCTTCGTATTGTGGACAGAATTAATTTAGAGTTAAAAAAAATTTACGATAAGAAAAAGGTCTTGACAAGAGAAATTAGTGCTTCAAAACATAAATAACTACAGATATACATTTCTATAGATTACATGACAATTTATGTTGTTTTAGGCAAACAAAAATGGGAGCAGCAATGCTATGGAACTTGAATGCGCAAAACAGTCATCTAAATTCTTCGAATGACAAGATCTGAGGATTGACAATGTTATCAGTGACCGAGGTAAAGGGATAACCAAGCGGATGAATACCAAGTAAAAAGAAAATACACATTTCAATGATACTTTGCACTTGAAAAAAAGCAGTAACAAGAAACTGAGGAAGGCAAGCAAAGAGAAACGATGTGAAAGAATTAATGATGGGCTTAAAGGAATTTGTATACATTTGTATTGGAGTGCACAAACAACAATGCCTGGATTTGAGGCCTTGTTACTGGAAAATGAAAGCTTACTTTTAGACATATGGCAGGCAAACATGAAAATCATCCAGATCGTTTGTTTACATCTTTTGCCCTTGATGAGATCGAGGAACAAAATGGAGTCCAATGATTTTCATGTGTTTACAATGTTTCCCTGTCGTCATAATTTTTTTTGTTAAAGATATAATTAAATTAAGAAAATAAAAGTAAATAATAAATTGATATGCTCTAAGAAAAACACTTTAGATAAATTATTTCTTCTCTTTACTTCAATGAGAAATTCCATCGCACATCAAAAAATAAAGCATGTCACCACTTCCTACAATATATAATTTCCAAAATACAAAACTTGGTGAAGAAGTTTTTCGTAAAGTAACATTTCAATCAACTTATCTAAATGTTTGTTCTTATTGCCTTTTTGTATTTAATGTTTCCGTGTTTTTTATTAAGCTTTTTTACATAACACAAAACTATTGTTTTAGTAATTGTTGATTTTTAATAACAAGTTCAAGTTTACATGTTTGTAAATGTAGATCGTCCAGGCTCGACCATTTACTTTATTAAGTTCAAGTTTGTGTTATTTAACTGTTTTTATAAGTTGGACGTATAGAATATGTAAATGCTGTGAAGAATATCATATTTAAAGCCTCTTCAGAAGAGCTATTCCAGATTCATGAAAAATACAAAAAGAAAGCACCTGAACCTTTATGTAGACAACCTTTATGAACCTTTATGAACCTTTATGAACCTTTATGAACCTTTATGAACCTTTATGTAGACCTTTATTTAGACCTTTATTTAGATGAAGAGCAGATGCATCAACAACTAACATAAGCAGCTCCAGAGGACGAAAATGCTGTAACTCTGGAAAATCAGGATGTACATATATGTAAAGAATGTAATGCTCTACGTAAAACACATTCAGAGACACATGCTCAGATCCTGAAAGCTTTCATTGGGCAATGGTCAGATCTTGCTTGGAGCTCATATGAGTTGAAGAAATAAGACGCCTTCTTCGCTCCACCAGTCTGGGGGTCATCTTGAGCAAGTGATAGTATCCACTTAGCCTCCCAAATATGGAAAACAAACTTTTTTGTTGTTCTTGGAACTATTTATGTCTTATTCAATTATTCAACATTCTAAAGTTAATATTATTGGGATGAGTAGGTGATACTGACTTTTTGATATTTTGTTTCAAAAATAACTAGATAATACGCTCCTAGTTGTTACTGTTTTCAGATTGCTTTTTGGCTTAGTTTTCTCTGGATATCATAAACATGTCATATTCCAGAAGTAAAGTGATGTTATAATGTGTATCAAACAACTAGTTTTACTTTGTAATTACTATTCTCATGTTTTTTGCCTCATTTATTGTTCTGCAGTTCATTTCTTAGAGAATTGAATTGTATTGAATGTACATCTGAGTGTAAAGTAAATGCATTTAGATAGTATAGGAATGTTTTAAAGAAGGAGTATGGGCATGCTCTAAGGAAAGCTTTGGAAACCTTAGCAAAAAAAACTCGAGGAAGAAAGGAGGAGCAATCACATATGGGTAAATCTATTGGAAAAGGAAAGCAAAACATTTCTTTTGAGAATGGAGATGTCATGAATCAGCCAATCAGGCACATATGGGATTTGTTAGACAGAATGCAACCTTTGTACGTTCGAGTTGTTAGACAGAATGCAACCTATGTACGTTCGAGTACCTATGGATTGATAAGATACATGATTTTAAAAAGTATCTTTCTAATGACTTGCGTACTGATGTTGCTTTGATAGATGTTACACCAGCACTTTAGAGAAAACCAAGGGCATAATTTCAAGAAAATCCGAGGAAGCAATTAATTTTAAATCTCTTCATTTTTAAATAATTGACAACATAGTTAAGGTCAATTTATAATAGCTAATTATAATACAATAAAATATTGCCTCTTTTTTAACTGACACTTGGGGGGTATTGTTTATGCTATATTATTTGTGATGTAATTAAGTAGCTGACTCATTATTATATAAAAATATTATATGATTTTTCACTAAAGCTAGCAATATATACATAATTATGTATTTCACACTAAACCTAACGTTGTTGAGATGGAAGATAGCCTTTGGATTCACGCTGTGGGTACTTTTTTTTAGAATAAGTACACTGAAACTGGTGAATGCCTGCTTTTCTCCCATCCTAGTAGACGACATATACACCTAATAAGCCATATAGCTAACATCTCTCAAGAACAAAAAATTAAAACTAATTTTATTGTTAGCAATTCCATGTGCAAACTGTATCGTGAACTAATACTTTATAGTAAATAGTCTTAATGATTTAGTAACTTTCATCTACGAAAACAATATGGTTGATTATTAGGGACGAAAATTCTGAGGAGAGTGTTGGGAATTTTACTGGGGGTAAAATTTTACCACAGTCTATAATTTGGGTAGTTTTTACTCCCACTAAAATTTTACTCCAGTAGAAGTATGGGACAATTTTTACCTCATATTAGCGTTTACTTCAAAAATTGTGTCGTTCTGTGGAACTTTGTTCACTCCCCAGTAAAATTTTACCCCTAAAATTAGGGTAAACTAATGTTCCACAGAATAACCCAATTTTTGGAGTAAAATTCACTAAAATTAAACAGGAAGGTAATTTTGTGGGTAATTGTGGTGACTATTAGGTTGAAAATCGTTAATATGAAGTGTGTGCGTAAAACACATAAAATTTTCAAATTTAGTACGTATGCACTTAAAATTTACAACTTATTTATGAAACACGCATGAAAAAAAACTTGTAAATAAAAAACAAAAGATATTGGTGTTATATTATGTAAATCATCAATTAAAAATTGACACTTTACATGACCCAAATGAATTGAAAACAAAAGATGATGAGGATTTTTGACTAATCTTCTTCTGTGTAAAATGCATTCAGGTCATGTAAAGGGTGACGTTGAAACAGGCTTACATTAGTTTATACAAGAGTTAGTTGTCAGTTAATCACTTTCAAAATATACAGCTCGGTTTTTGTCACTATTTACATGTTTTATTCCTGCGTTTTTCATATACAAATTGTAAATTTTAAATTATACGTATTAAATTTGATCAATTTATGTGTGTTACGTACATACTGCATATTTTACTGTTTTCGAACTAATAGGCCACCCTGGTACCCACCAAACTAAGCAAAGTTTACACCCTATTAAAATTAAAAAAATCGGGGAATCGTCTATAACATATTATATGAAATTCCAACGGATACTAAATATGTACTACACAATCTTTTAAAGAAAATTAATGTCCGACAAAAATAATGTAGCCATTACAAATATTACAAAACAGAGTTTAGAAACATTTCTGAGTCCTTTTATTCTAATTGTGCTTTCAGTTTATACAAAAAATATCAAACTGTAATATCAAATTGTAATTACATAAATACAAATGGTATACAGTTAAAACATGTACTTTGATGACCAAGATATATAAATTACTTGTTGTGACAAGTTGCTATATGTTCAAAATGTAATGCTGTTGAGTTTGTGTATCATGATCTATTACGAAAACAAAAACGTGCTTCCAACGACATTAATTACCAAAGACGTATTAACTTTAAATGTTGTTTAACATATTGATAAGAAAAAAGGAAAACAATATACGTAAAATGAAGTAAACGAGCTGAATAACACTTTACATGAAACGCTAATTCTATAGATCAAAATGGATATCTATCCAAGGAATTCATGTTTACTGTTTGTGTTTTGTGAATTGATCATAATGAGGAGGAACATTTCTGTAGTAAAAGCTATTTGCATATCGTTATCATTTCATGCCAGTACTTCATAAATTAGCCTATGTATTTAATTTTCGTGAAAACGTTTCCTTGAACCATCAACGTTTAGAAAGCTAAGTGAGAGTATTGTTTTGTTTCCAATTCAGATTACTCGAGATTTAATGATATATGTCAAGGTGGATATCTACCGATATATAATTCATGTATCATGTGCAAATTGCATTGTTAGTGTAACAGTGCAGGATTTTTTATGTCATTGTTGTATTAATAGAAATTAACGAAAATTCCGGTTTAAACTCAACTGAAAGCCTGCGTATTATTCTCACATGATATGAACACACGTTTCTCTCCTCCATAAAATTGGTTCTTATTTCATAAAGTTCATCGTAGCATATTATACGGCTGCTCTTTGAAAATAATGATTTTAACTCATTTATTAGAATGCATCGCTAAGCTCACTCTTTGAAAATCCACTATGTTTGTTTTGTCAAGTGTAGTTTTACCTAGGGTTTCCCATTTAGTTTATAAAGACTGGAGGCTGCATGTCATCGAAATTAATATAAATTATTAGCGCGCAACCTGTGATCAAAAGTATGGCGGATTTTTGTGGTCAAAATCAGCGGAAAGACGCGGGCTCGTGCAATAAAAATTTTGTCACCCACCTGGATTTGACCACCACGAATGCAAGTATAGGATATATCAAAACTATTTATCCAAACAAAACACTTTTTTCAATTTTTTGTATTAAACAATCTGCACACTTAGCGAAAGAAACGGAAATATTTCATGACTCCGGTAAGTAGCATAGTATTGTTTATCATTTAAAGAGTTCACTAGTTTCACTATTCTGTTTTTAACACGACACTTGAAAATGTTTCTACTAATAAGTTATAATTTGAGTTATGTTGGTCCAGTCATGTTTGTTCTTTACTTTATCGCTTTTTTGGACGAGGCAAAGCAGAGTTGTGATAAAATTGAATGCACTGCCATGCAAACTTAATGAACACTGTAGTTTAAGCCTTATAATAAAACAACTTTATTAAACTGCTTGCTTGCTCAATTTGATTGATGGTAGACAATCATAATGGGATCGCAAAGTTAGATTATGCATACATTTTATAAGTAACATTTAGCGTTTCAGTAAATGAAGTGCTTATTGTTATAGTAAACAGGTTAATACTTCAAAATTAAGAGAAAAGAAGTGTGTGTTGAACAATGTGCTAAGATTTGCTCATACCTTAAAATTCTTGTTCAACAACCACTTATGATTACATGTTTGTAGACATAGATCGACCAGGTTAGTATATACCTGAGAAGGTCTGTTTTTGTTGTTATTGAATGAAGTTTCGACAACCTTAGCAATAGTCATCTTCAGAGACAAAAGAGGAGTAAACTTCAGGTTAGCCGTATTTGTTATCTGGTTCTCACGTCATTGTATTGTGTGTACAGGAAATGTATAGGTGTCAATTGTGTATTGTCATTGTGTATTAGTGTGAAGTTTAATGTTTTTAGTTGATTGTTTGTATGTATCGTGAGGTGCCGGTAATTGCTGTGATCTGTTCGGGGGGTTTGTTCCAAGTTGGTATACAAACTTTCTAATGGAAACCGATGTCTGTGGTCAGTGCTGTAAGTAATGCATTTTGCCGAATCCAAGTCAAAGTTGTGCTTTGCGAGTCGGTGAAGTTCTGCAATGCGATTAGTTTTGTCTCGTTTCTTTGTAGTTCGTTTGTAGCTCGATTGTGTTCAGTAAGTATTATGTTAAAGTTCCTGCAAATTTCCCGGATAGTTGGTAACAGTCGGAGCAGTTTATTTTGTAAACTGCACCTTGTCGTTCGTTGGGTTGTTCTTTGTCTTTTATGTTCGTTAATACTTGTTGTAACGTTGTGATTGGTTTATGTGCGACAGGTATGTCGTATGATTGTAAGATACTCGAGATAGTCTCAGACGCACCTTTGATGTAAGGTATCGTTGCTGTTGTTGATGAGTTGCTCATTTCGTTGGATTCGTTATGTTTGTAAGTATTGCGTTTGACTTCATCCTGTACACACAATACAATGACGTAAGAACCAGATAAAAAATACGGCTAACCTGACGTATACTCCTCATTTGACTCTAAAGATGACTACCGCCAAGGTTGCCGACATACCAGTCAACAACAACAACAGACTTCTCAGGAACATACTAAACTGGACGACCTACATCTACAAACATATAACGATACTCATGTGTTCAAACCATTTACTTTAATAGTTTATGATCATATCATTTAAGTGCATGAAACATTAAACATCTGACAAAATCGATACTTGGTACAATTCCAGGTGATCCAAAAATTAACATGGGATGCATTGGTTGCAATGAAGTTGAATGTGGAAGAAACAAAAAAAGATGACAAAGAACGTCTGTGTGTCTTATAAAGAATTAGTGGAGATTAATAAACAGAATGCTCAAAACACATTTAAATTGCTCATGGCCAAATAACCTATTTAAAGAAGCAAACTCTGTCTTCAATTTTTGACCTTTTACTTGTTTAGATGTAAACACCTCTAAGGCTTAGACCTTTAGTTAAACTAAATTAGTTTCTTTGTGCAAGATACTATTTTAGAGAAACTTGATTTGTAAGTAGTTCATTACTATTTTTATCAAGAAATCAAAGAAACAAATTCAAAGGCATGATGTGAAATACAAACATTCATCAAGTTGTTAATGATTTAATTCCCAATTGTTAGTTTGTACACACTAATATTTAGTAGTGGTAGCTATAAGTTATTAAGGCATGAGAGAATAGTAGTGCTTCAGGGTTAAGCATTTTCTAAAAATTTCATCTTGTTCTTGACATACATCACACAATCCTAAAAGATTATAGGTAATGCACAATAATACCTATAGGTTGCAGAACTAGCTAAAATTCTTTTCCTACACTGCCAATTAACTCATTTTTCCTTCATGCAGCAGTAGGCAGAGTGTTTTTGTCAGCAAAACGAATGTGCTTTTTATTCCAAGTATTTAATTTCAATAGAAAATAGACGTAGTTCTGTTCAGTAGTAGATCAAGGTTGTGCCAAGTAGTTTACAAATCATAAATTTCCAATGAACAGCATCATAGTATTTTAATTTTTTCTTCTTTTCTGTAGCTCTTTTAGTTAATAAGTTTTCAGTAGATTTATCAGGTAATGACTACATACATACCCATGGTATATTTTCAGTAGACTTATGTCGAAGGATTAAAGAAAATTTTTCTCTCTACTTTGGGTGTATTTG